TTTATTGCAAATCTCTGAAGGTGGCACGGCCTTGCTACACACCACTAGGTGCACACTTCTGTCACTATACACAGCCACCACCTGCCTGAGTATTGTGTAGGTTTCCATTGTGCAGCAGAAACAGCTCTGACCCCAAGGCATGGACTTCACAAGACCCCTGAAAGGTGTCTCGAACCATTTATTATGTTCCTTAAACCCTTCCCAAGCATTTTTTTTGCACTGTAGCACAGTCTGTTTTCCTGCTGGAAGAGGTCCCTGCCATCAGAGAATACTGTTGCCATAATGGGGTGTATGTGGTCTGCACCAGTGTTTATGTGGGCGGTACGTGTCAAAGTAACATCCACATGAATGCCAGAGAGCTATGTGAATGCCAAGGTCTCCCCCACATAACAGAGCACCTCTCCGGCTCCTCCTCTGTTCAATTCACTTCTTTCCTTCTGCTTGCACGTTTATTCTGCTTCCAACGTCTCAAGAGCTGACTGTTCATTTGCTCCCTGATATATCCCCACCCCTTGACAGGTGCTACTTTAATCAACCAATCAATGTAATTCCCTTCACCTGGCAACAGGTTTAAAGTTGTGGCTGATTGGTGTATTATGTAGTAGCAGACTTACTTAATAAAAGAGATGAATGCAGCTCTCCAGCCAGGGAGAAAGACCTATAAAATCCATACAAAAACAAAGAAAATAAAAAATTCCATTAGGTCGATATTGTCCCTCAGTGAGAAACAATACAGATGCTGACTGGTTTTGAAACCATGGAGATATAAGTGCATCCCAACTATAAATTTAACAGACAGGTGTCATTATTTGTGCATGTCTGCTAGAATTTTCTAGAAATCCTTTTTCCCCAGTTAGCAGTGAGATTGCGTGATAACTGGAAGTCTTGTAAAAGCCTGGGAGTCTCAGCTGAAGGATGGCCTTCTGTACCTGTCTCTTTGTTATTGATTCCTGTGCATGCTACAGTCAGATGAGTGGCAGCTGGTGTGATCTCTGAAGTTCCTCTCATTGCATTTGAGGCTTTTTCATGTGACTTCCCAGTTCCCTGAGTTATGTGCCTGCTCACTTGTTTTGACTCTCCATTCATTATCACGCTGTCTTCCTTTTTTACTCTTTTTACCTTAATGTTCTTTTCTATGCTCTTTAAAGATTTTAGGATCAGTTTTATTTATTCATGTTAGCATCTTTAGAAGCACATGAGAGAGTATTTAAAAGCATTTACATGTGTGATATTCATCTCGCTCATATGTGGGTCCATTTTGCCATACACTTCCCTCTCAGCTATTTAACCTCAGAAATCTCATTTATCAGAGCTGATGTAGTACTCCGGGGCTAAACTCTGGACAAACAGCAGCATTATTTATCTCATTAGTGATAAATATTACCCAGTGCAATGCTACATTTGCAGATAACTACACTGGTAATGGCGCCCCAGCATTGTTACAGCTTTTCTTTTCTTGGCCTCACTGCTGCTGTAAGAGTCATTGCTGTGAACAACAGGCACACAGTTTGTTTGGTTTTTTTTGGTTTTTCTCCAGGCTGTTTAGGTTTTACTTTTTTAAAATCTCATTACATCATCTGTGTTGAATGGCGCTATCTTTAGCTGCTGGCTACAGGGCTGTGACTGCCTTGCAGACTGGCCTCACAGCAGCTACATATTTGCTGAATAACAATCACGTGTTGCTTTGAATGGAAGCCTCGTTATCGCCTGACGTCATCGCCATCACTGGCTGTCCATCAATATGAGGCAAATGGACAATACTATTACTACTAATCTACGTCGCCTGCTCCATCTGCTGCTGAGACATGAATTAGAAAATGATTTTGTATTTTCTTCTTTTATTGATTTCTCTTTCTTATTTGCCCAGACCGAGCAAACAAGCTGCTGCGCTTGGCTGCAGAGGTCTGGCTGTATCTCTGATGGATTAAGGTGTTTCAGTGTAACAATTCGCCAATCTGTCATGTTCTCAGCAAAGTCCCAATTTGGTGTTAATATGCACTTAACCCTGATGATATATTGATGATACATACAGTTAAGTGCACAAGTTTATGGATAGTTACAGTTTGGACTTTGTTTTAATTCAAGAGGCTTTGAAGCCTAAACCATGAATCAATTACCTGATTTTTTTAAATGAGTGTTTATTGAAACTTCCGACAAATTAAAAAAAAAAACAAGAAAAATATGAATGTGCATATATGATTTTTGGGTTGCTTTTGCATTATGCTTTGGGTCATTATACATTTGCAGTGTGATCTGTTTCCAGCATTTGTAAAGCCTGTACATTTGCAACCTATAAACACCATCATGATCTGGTACAAGTTGGTGTTTGTTCTAAGAAGTCCTAAAAATGTTTTCTGGAATTTTACAGGCTCTTTTGAATGTTTTCTGTCAAACACTAATCCATTCTTCCTGTTCTTGAGTGTAACCAGTGTTTGCACTTTGTTGTAAACTCTGTATTTCCATTGATGAAGGCAGCTCTTGATTGTTGATCTTGATGTTGGTAAGAATATACCTATTTTATTGTTTTATTAACCAAACTTTAGTTGTATCCTGTGGCTAATTTATTGTTTTTTTTTCACGTCTCAGATTGAGAATCACAGTAAAAAACTACCAAGTACAACTTCAACACTCCAACTCAGCATGGAAAAATGAGCTGATTGTCAGTCAATTATACCGTTAATTTGGAACTTTTGAAAATGGGGGACTGTGGATAAAAATGGTTGTATTACATAATCATTTAATGCCATACTTTTGTTAAACCTCTTTAATTAAAGCTGAAAGTCTGCACTTCAATCACACTTTCATTATCTGACTTACTCTGGTGGTTTACAAGGGCAGAATTACAAAAACAGTGCCACTGTGCAATATTTGAAGACTCAACTATACATCATGTCCTTCAGATTTAGTACTTTGTTTTAAGATATATGAATTTGAGGAAGATTACCATCTAGTCGGTGATCAACAAAGATCTCAAGGTTTAATATCACAGATCTCAGATCTACTTTCTTTCTTTTTCAACCCGATATAACCCGGGTAATAGACATGCCACTCCACCATGTCTATTTCACGCATTGACTCACCAAGACGTGAAACATACACGCACGCAGAAATTTCAGTAAGCTGCAGTACCTGCAGACGGGGAAATTTTATTTCAAGTCAGCATGAAGATAATCACGGAAAAGTGTTTTAACAGACATTGTTAACCCACATAGCTTAATTGTTTCAGGTGATTAAGGACTCCTGAATGTACTGTATACATTTTTTGCTCACTGCTCATAAACACTGTGCAATAAAAAAAATTTCATTCCACAAAAAATTGTAAACGTTTTTTATATCATATTTACTTGTTTTTAGGTTTCTAGTATTTGTTTGCATAAAATAGACAGATGGAAGTACCTTTATGGAAGTTAGCATCTGCTCTCTGTCTGTGTTTCACACTTCATGTTTTTTTTTTCCAAACGATCCATCTAAAATCACGAATAAATATATCTGCTTCACTGGAGTCTGAGTTTTATAACAGTTTATTTAAGACTGGCAAAAACAATAATGCCCCTCTACGGGCTTTTCCAACATCATATTACCACTCTGTAGCCTATTTGAGAAAAAACACAAGAAAAAAAAGCCTGAGAGGAAAAGTACTAACATCATGGTTTCTGTCAGTGTGTTTGTCATAATGTGGCAAATAGTGACAGCTAGAAAGTTTAAGACATTTATTGATAAAGAGTGAATTGTGAAAAACTAGTAGGCTGGAGATAGAAAGGTCCTGCAGCACAACAGTGTCACACACAGGAGCTCTGCCAGAGAGGAGAAAGTGAGCTTACACAAGTACAGAAGACTTTTGGTTTGCAGAGATGAGTTTGATAAACTGTGTCAGTCTTGCTTGTGTTGTAGAACAATGGAGTCACAGACGGGGTCTGTGGGCAGCTGGCAGCAAACCAAAAGTTACTAAGTGCAACAGCCAGAGTTCACAGGCAGGTGAGCAAGTGAGCCTTTCCTCTGACAGGCTGCAGACAACGAGATGAAGGTTTAAGCTTGGCTGGAGGTTTCCACATACAGCATACGAGTGTAGACAGGTGTAGGAAGGAAAGAACTGTGGGGAAACTGCCCAGGGACGGACCTCGTGAGAGGAGCCAGCCCAGCAACTTCACCTGAGACTAACAGCAAAAAGGTTGGAGAAACAGAAAAACCAAACTTCAAAGCTGCACCAACCACACCACAACAGGGTTGAGCCTAAATTACAGAAAAAATGTGTTTTTTTAGACAAAAGGTCAAACCAGTAAAGTATCTTTACTGTAATGTTTAAAGATAAGATGAAGAACAAGGCAAATTGTTTGAACTGAGGATTGAATTACCTCTAACACTTGTGGAAATATGCACTACATGTAAAGACTGTTATCTGTGATGTGTGTTGCACATAATAACCTGAAAATTTCAAATACCAGTGAAAAACACCAGCTGTGGTTTTTCAAGTAGTTTTACAACATTGTAGTAGTGCATAAAAAGAGCACTGATGAGTGTTTTAACAAGGGACACATATCAATATGATTCTAATTACATGGGATAAAAATAAACATGAAACAACAGTCAGTGCACCAAATAACTTATTCTACAGGCACTAACACAAAAATTGCGAAACAATAAACGATACAACAATTTGTGAGATATAAGGGGATGAAGACAAGATTAGACATACAAATCACATATTCAGGGTATTAGACAACAAAATTGCAAATACAGGAGCTGCACATATATGTGTGGGTGTGTGTTATTGATAAAAAAAATTTTTTTACTTGATTTCTACTATTTATGTGTAGCTCTTACATTGTGGGCACCACTTACACACAGGAACAGTAAACCAGGTAAAGCGTGGGTACCACAGGTATGCAAAGCTAACAGATTTTCCTCTAAACAGATTAATTAGGGCTACAAAGGTTGAAAGTGTCACGGGCTGCGACGGCAGACCGTGGAGTTGTAGAGAAAGTAGGGCCCAAACGCGAGACTCAAGTGAAGGACAGTGGATTTATTTATGGCGAGTGGACAGAAACGACAACTATATACAATTCAAGCACTGTGACTCCTGTGGCGATTCCTCCAAGAATCCCACACAGTGCACGTGTCCATAGCAGTGAAAAGGTGACAACTCCAAAAACCCGATTCCACTCTGTGATTTCCCCTCGTGACGACGTTCCTGACTCCCGACTCCTGGTGACACAAAAACACACACAGCTCAGCAGGCAGCCTTTAGTAGCGAAGCCGATCACAACACACTAATCTACGGAGGTACTTAACAGGTTCGACTTAGTATAATCCCGCGCCGACTGGGGCTCCGCCACCTTCTTGAATAAGGCGCCCCTCATGAAGCCATCAGCTGCAGCTGGTGAGGGCTAATGGGCGGCAGGTGCGGCAGTCCCCAGTGCGGGAACACTTCCGGGTCGCAGTCCCCTCAGCGACCCCAAAACATCCGGGAGCACCCAGGGAGAAAGGACAAAAAGGGAGAGACAACCACCATAATATATGGAAAAACATATACAAGAAATACATGAGCTCTGGGTCATCAGACCCAGACCATGACAGAAAGAATATGTCCCATGAAGTATTTCAAAAATGCTCTTCACAGCTCTGCTGTGAAAGTATAAACACTAATGAGCCAGATGTTGACTTTGTTTAGAAACAGTGGGGACAAAAAGTGACATAACTAAAAGCAGAATAAGTGCACTGTTAAGAACCAACTTGCCTGGTTCCCTTCACAAATCAACAGACCAGGGGAGGAAAAGGGAAACAGTCGAGGGCAAAGAAAAAAAGAATACAAAACATGCTCTGAAAATATTCTTATTTCCTGTTTTTTATTTAAGGGTTTTGACTTACTCCACTTCTACACTGAAAAAAATAACATGGTGGATTTACTTCATTCAATAGTGGACATTGGTTGCACAATATAGTTTTGCTTTGGCAGCAACTTAAACAACTGAGTTAAATAAACACAACTTATTCATATTCAATAAGTCTGTGCATTTTGTGTTGATAAAACGTGATTGAAACATGTTTAGATGAAGTAAGTTGAGTTCTTGGGATATTTTAATCCTTCAACTTTTACCCCAATACTACTTGGTCACTTAAATACTACATTTAATTTAGAATTAAATGTAGTATTTAATTTAGAATTAAATGTAGTATTTAGAATCACCAATTAACTTATCCCTAATAACTGCATGACTTTTAACTGTGGGAGGAAACCAGAGTACCCAGAGAGAACCAACTGACGGACTGAATCCAGGACATGAGCTGTCAATCCAGGCTTAACAAAAGCTTGATCCAGAATTTTCTGTACGTTTTTGTCCTTGACAGGTTACACAACAATAAATAGCAACAGCATACATGTGGTGTGTGTATAGTTGTCTGCCTCTTAAAACCCCAGTGATTTCTCTGTGGTTTGAAATCTCGTGTGATCTTGTGAATTTCGTGAGTCCAGGCAACTAACCACTCTTACTAGATTGCATCATGTCATCTCAACAAGAATAACTGCCAGGAGGGGGAAAAAGTGCCTAACATATAACCCACATATGTAGCACATACATTTTAAACAAATCACTTTGTTGTGACACTGAAAAAAAGAAACAAATTCCCTGTCCCTATTTGTTGATTTTTTTGTTATAATATCAAAACAATGTATTTAACAATATATACTGTTTTGGCTGTGTGGTTTCATGACTTTATAGTGTATACACTGATAAACTGACGAATGAGCCACTTTAAACCAATGCAGAGGCCCACTTATGCATAATAATAATAATATTAATAAAAATAATGACACACACTGTAAAACCACCAGAATTTTCAAAAAGGTCATACCAACCACCACTTGTTTCACTCCTACAGCTTATGTTTGCAGTTTGTTAAAAAGCCTGCTAGCATTAGCAAATAACTTAGCACTAACTTCCAAATTGCTCTTTTAATCTCCTGCCTCAACGACACACCTGCAAAATATATCAAACACGATGATGGCAAAATATTTTTAAGAAGATCTTGTCCTGACAAAGACAGATGTCTTATAAAAGTACTTTCCTCTAACGCAGAGTACCAGTTTGTCTCCAGGATCACGTTTTGCCATGACAGTAAATATACACACAGGCTCAGAAAGTGCACACAATATGGGCTAACCTTACAGATGGTAAGGCTAATGTCAAATATAGATGTGGGAAGCAGCATCACATCCATTCCCACTGGTGAAAGTCCATAATTTAGTTATGACCTCACATTCTCTGGTAAGTATTTCACGCACATTAATATTGTTCACTTTGAAATGAAATATCTGCAGCTTCGCTTTACTCCTTCCCACTCTCTCAGGCTTGCACTTAATGCTCCTCCTTTCTCAGTCTTACACTTTATACTCTGTATACTTTATCTCTCTCCCCACTTCTGTCTTCCCCCCCATGTCTCAGTTTCCAAAGGCTAATGCACTGGAGCAGATAATTATACACACCCTCCACCCCGCTTCCATACTGGCGTCTCAAACAACATCCCTCTCCTCCATGTGTGCACAGTGAACCTGCATTGATGCAGGAGGAGAGAAGACAAAATCACATATTCAGTGTACAGTGATAAATGAGGACACATATGCGGCAAACAAGCTGTCGTAGTGACATTGCTGGGGGCATTTCACCCCATTACCAAAATAGATCCATGTTATATGTGTGTGTGTGTTTCCCCATCACCCAACACAAATGTGCAAGTTAAAAGTTAAAAGCTTAGGAAATAATTTAGACTTGCGTTGCAAAGATAACACGTAGAGCACTTCTTGAAGATGTTCGTAAGATGACTCTGACAATGGCAGCCTTAATGATCATATTTTAATGTGTAACGCCACCTTTGAATAGGCTTAAAGAGAAGTAAAGGTCAGGGAGGTAAAAAAAACAACAACAAAAAAACATCTAAGTCTTTTTCATATTCACCGTTATATTCACAGTTCTTCCCATGCAGTCTCTAATTATCCTGACATAGTGCCCATAAATAGGAAATGTAAATGCCAAACTTTATCTTGTCTCCTGCTTATATTTACTGAAGCATAAAAAAATGACATGGTCCTCTTTACTCATTTCTTTCTCATTTCCCCACCGAGCTGCAAAATTCAGTCCTCTGTCCTGTTGCCAAATCAATCTTTTCTGGGACATTTGGGCCAAATGAATTATTGCTAAAGAAAACTGAGCTGAGGTGACGTTCAGTTGGCAATGCACATAACAAGATCATGTAACTGTATAATTCAGATCATAAAATTTATGGTCTGCTTCCAGCTCACAAAGGTTAACAGCTTAGTTTAAAAGAGATGTTTAAGCTTATGAATCTAAAAATAAAACACCTAATTAAATTGTGAATGTGCAGAATGGGCAAATTAGACGTATCAGATTTCTCAAAAAACACCCATCCTAGAAACCTGATTGAACCACTGAAGTCATTTGTCACAGAAAACAAAAAATATTTTTGTATATTTAGTAAAAGCTAAATTAACACATGACCAACTGTTTTAGCAGGAATTAGTTTCTGGTCTGTTCTAATTTTGTTGGATGGTCAGTGAACATCTGGCAACCACCAGTTGCAATGGAAAAATGTGCATTCCCCAACTGGTTGAATAGCATTTGCTGGAGATTGCTTTGGGATCAGTTGTTAAGCCCACAGCATGCAGGCCTAGAGATTGGTCAGTGACACAGTGGTAACCCCTGGTCGCTATGGTCCGCCATACTGTAGGTGTTTTACTGGGCTGAGAGTGTGCATATGCCATTTACCACACATAAACTGCTAGTTACAAAGAAAGAATGTGGGATGAGAGTGTGTGAGCCCTTGAGTACTTTGCACATTTATGTTTGTTTGTTTGTTTAGAGCAAGTCAAGCTGAACATTGTGAAGTGGAAATGAAAGTAAGGTAAGAGAGAACCAAAAACTGCAAAAAAAAGCTAATTTCACAGAGCTTGAATTTCTCATCTTTATAATTGATTTCAGTTCACACACGCCTACTTGAATTAATATGTAGGATTTACCATTATAAAACTACCTTGTAAAAAATGAGTGTGTAATACATTTTGTGAAACCTCTCATTTTTATTCATTAATGTGTGTATTGGGGGATTAATTGAGGATGCTATAAATAGCACATTTGTGTGCAACAGTTGTGCGTAAGCTGCTGTGGTGCTGCCGGAGGACCTTCCTGATGCATTAGTTGTCAGAAAGTTTCTTTTTTCTACCTCAGTCACCACCTTTCCCTCATCCTTTCAGCTCTTTAAGGTTTCCTTTTCCCCACAGTATTTTTTTTTCTGCTTGTGATTTAGGAATTAAAACCACCAAAGTGAAACAGCCACAGAAATAGCTGTTGATGTGTTCTGTGTGTGACCCTGAAATAAAGGGATGATGTTTTTCAGTGGTGTCTCTCTGATAAGGAAGAAACAAATCATTTATGAACGCATGCTATCAGTTATGATAATGGCTAGCACTGATTAGTAATTAAAGCTCCAGCTTCCCATTCAATTTTCCCATGCCTCCTAAACCTGAAAGCGCCTCCTAAAACTGTCGCTTTTTTCACTGCCATGGCATGCTCTGTCTCTCAGGAGCTAGAGCAGGTTGTCTACTAACTGGAAAATCAGTGGTTCAATCGCCGGCTCCTCAAGTGTTCACTGTCAGACTAGAGGAGCTCTAGACGTTTAGTATACAATGTTAGTAAGTAAGTAAGTAAGTAAGTAAAATTTATTTATATAGCACTTTTTTAAGACAAAACGCTGTTACAAAGTGCTTCACAAGAAAACATGTCAAACAAACAATATAGCAACATAAAGAAAGTATAAAAGCATATCAAAAAAGCAATAGTACAATATAAATATAAAATAAAACAACATGTTACGCATTAACATTTCCCAAATGCCTGTCTAAACAGATGAGTTTTAAGCTGTTTTTTGAAAGAAGCCATCGTGTCGATGGTGCGTAGTGGGGGGGGTAAACCATTCCACAGTATAGGAGCCAGGGTTTGAAATGCGTGATCCCCCTTTGTTTTCAGACGAGTCCGTGGGATAGATAGACGACCGCTATCAGTGGATCTAAGAGTTCGCTTTGGAGAATAGGGATGTTAGTATGTGCCTGGGCAATGGAGTAGTATGTGCCTGCTAGGTTAAAAGTGCTTTTTTTAAAAAAAGAATTTGGGGTGAATGAGTTCTTAAATAGAGAAGAAAACCATTAAATAATAGTCCATTAAAGATGAAGATTAGGATGTTTTTGCGCGTTTCAGGACATTTGTTGACCTCTTGTTTCACATGCACTGGAAAGAAACCAGAAAAAATAAAGTAGAAATAAAATCATGCATTGATTTTAACTAATGGTTCCCTCTAAGAGGGCAAGTGGATCCAAACCATGTTAGCAAATGTCACTGACAACATACTCTAAGAGAGACACCAATCATCTTGAGGGTTCAGGTTTTCCTTTCATTTGTCACCTGCATATAAATGTTTTAAT